CCATTATGTCATAAATTTCTTTATAAATTATTAGCTCTAACATATTATGAACGTTGTGGAATGTCTGCAGAGCGCATTCCCAGTTGGCGCGTTAAACTTGAACTTGAGTTGAGCACGACTTAAACTGAGCTATGCTGCACATGCAACAATGCGCACAGAATGAGCTGCTGTGATAATGTTTTGATTTCCACGCCGCAGCACCAAAAAAAAAAAAACAAACAAAAACAAAACAAACAAAAAAACATGCAATAGCTCGTGAGTGAGTAGCAAACGGCTTTTGGCTGCAACTTGTGGCATGCTACAGTTAAACGGCTTTTAATGGCGATTGAGGAAAATTGGCAGCTTCCTCCCACCTCGCCCGGTGGCTCGCCTGTCCCCAGCTGCCGCACCTGTTGCGAGCGCCTGGCTCGGCGTATATAAGCAGCCTCGTCGGCGTCCGTGACGTTAATCAAACCGCGTCGCCTGACAGTCGTGGGCTGCAGCCAGCAGAAGTGCAAGTGTTTAGCCAACATCAGATACAATTTCATTTGGTCTCTCATTAAAAAACGCGCCCCAGCGAGTGTCACAGCAAACGTTAAATCATAGCAGAGGTGAAGCATTTACTGCTGTATGTTATTTATTTTTGTTTTTGTCTTGGTTTTTCATTTTTGTTTTATTAGTGTTTTCGAACAAATATTTGCCCGTGTATGAATGAGCATAATTGCTGTGAAGCCACAAATTAAATGAAAAGCAAGACAGCGCGCAGTGAAAGTGAACTTTAAATAAGATTGTTACGCCCATCCATTCATGGAAGTTGGTTAAGTAATTTTCGGGGGCTTGTGTTTATGCCATTTGTATGGCAATTAACCTGGCCAAAATGCTTAAACAGAACAGGCTACCTAATTACCGCGTTGCCCCCATTGGGCGTTGCAGCTTGCCAGCTTGGACATGAAATAAAATTTATTAATTAACAAAACAAACGATGCCCTCTCTCTCTTCACATCCCTATCTCTCTCTCTCTCTCTCTCTCTCTGTCCCTTTCTCTCTTTCTCTTTGTGAACTATTACCAAATTGATGAATTTACCATATTCGGCCAAAGCGTTATGCTTACAATGAAGCAGTTTTGTTGCCATAAATTGTAGTCAAATTATTATTGAATTCTATGAGGCGTATATATTTTAAAGAAAATTTTAAAATAGACCTGAAGCTAGACTTATATTTCTCATCAATAGATTCCTGTAAGCAGCTTAAAAGTTTCCACAGTTTTAATTGACATAGCCAAATCTCAAACGTCTTAGAATCAATCACATCAATCAATCAGTCACTGAGAAAATATTCTTGTTTGCTGATTCTGCTCTGATTCTCTTCTATTTAAACTCCAGATGTACTACATTTATATGATATGTTGTATTTTATTGAACAAGTCTTTTGCTTTTTAGTGAAAATTTAGTCTGGTTATTATGTTTTACACACAATATATCATATAGTATATGGCACCTCATACGCTAATTCCAATGTCTGTCACCTTTTGATATCTGACTCATTAACTCGAATTTGCCGTTACACTCGCTAAACTCTTTCACATTTCAGATGCTGTGCCTAGGAAGATTCCACTGCGTGTTGCTGCTAGTGCAGCTGCTCGTGCTGCCTTTGCTGCACGCTCTGCCCGTATCAAGCCCCGAGATAGCCAACAAGTCGGGCAAGTCCGCCAACAGTGTTCAAGTGCAGCAGCAGCAGCAGCAACAACAGCAGCAGCAACAACAGCAGCAGCAACAGCAGCTACTCAAAGCCAGCTCAAATGGCCAGGATGCGCATCTGAACTCCCTGACTGCGTTTGCCACCAACTACGATAGCATAAGCACGGCCCAGGCGCAGCCACAGCCGCAGACAGAGGCCGGCTTCAAGCCCTCCTACAAGCTGCCCGAAATGGAGACGAACTTCTCGCCCATGCAGAGCGTCAGTCTGGCCGACAGCCCCACCCTTGCCAATCTGCCCAGCACGCCCATGCTGATGCAGTATCTGCCGGCGCAGTCGCTGCAGGATGGCAGCGGCACCGTGCAGTATCTGCAGCTGATACCGACGCGCCCCATCATCGTGCCCATCAGCCCGTACCTGACGTCGGCGGCCTCGGCCGGCGTGCAGCCGCCGGTGCCCGCGCTGACGCCCAGCGTGGCCGCCACGCCCGATTATGGTGCGCGCAGCGTGCAGCTCAGCCCGCTGCCCGCCAACACTGGCGTCACGGGCCTGCACTACTCAGGCGCCGGCCTGCAGGGCTACGCCAGCGCCATCTCCCCGGTGGCCGCCTATCGCAGCAGCTATCGCATCAATCGCGAGGCAAAGGAGAAGAACTTTCCGCCCGCATTCAGCCTGAATATGAATGAGTATCTGCCAGCGGCAGCGGCCAATCACGGTGGCACGCCCACGGGCGCAACATCCCATCCACAGCTGTATATGAGAACTAGGACATAGTTGGCTGATTCGAGTTTGTTGTTTAAGTCATTCGTTTTTTTTTTTTTTTTTTTTTTATTAATTTTGTTATACTTAACTTTAACTTGTTATTTGTTATATTCAAAACCCGAATAAAGATATGTTGAGTAAAAGAATTGTAAATAATTCAAATTAGCTAGCTTAGAGTGAGGTCTGAGTGAATTTATGCTGTTGTTGATGAACTATGAATATATATGAGCTATAGATATAAGCATATCAGGTAAAATTTGATATAAATTCAAAATATTCAAATTCATAACTCTAAGAGAATGTTCTGATTGACTGATTCGATTGGAATATAAATAACTTAGTTTAAGTGCTCCTATCGTTAATTTTAGAATAACAAAAACTTGACTGTTTCAAAGTTCACATTGTTACATTTACATAGTCCGACTCATCCAGGCATTAATGCAACATTATAAATATTACAGAGTCTATTACAACATGCCCGAGTTGCTTATAGGCCCAACAGAGTAAACAAACAAACTAAGATGACTCGGAGCAAGGTCGTCTTAGGCCAACAAGCAGCCGTCAACAGGCAACAGTTAACAGCTAACAGGTAACAGCTAACGGCCCAACAGCCAAACAGAATGAATTTCCATTGTCTCTGGGCTGTGTTTTTTTTTTTTTTTTTGGTCAGTGAAAGTAAAGCAACAAATTTCACGCCCGCCCGGAACAGTCGAATTGTTAACATGCACTTGTAGACACACACACACACGCATATGTATGTATAAACACACGTGTGTCAGCAGTCATTACGTTGTCAACCTTGAAGTTGCGTCAGTCAGCCAGTCAGCCAGATGCCCCAAGCGCTCCAAATCGTAGTCCCAGTCCCAGTCCCAGTCCCAGTCGAGCCAATACTTGCACTCGACCGTCTAATTGTCGCGTTTTGACAAATTCATTTGGCTGGAGCTCGGCCTGTGCGAGAGGCTTTCATTACCACTCCATCTTGCGATCAATTATAGCGATCGAGCCGACCTTCTTTCACTTGCGGCATTATGTGGACCGAGTGCCGACAGGCATTTCAAAGCAGCTCCAAGCACAGCTCGTGAATGCTCTTACTCTGGCTCTGATTATTGAAATTAATATTGGAAATTCTGTATATATATTTATATTTCGTATATCTCTATTTGCAAATAAATAAAAGTGTATATATATAACATATAACTGTAAATGAGTTTCAAGTGGGTCAAGAACTTTTTATTAATCTTTCTCATGAAAATCAAATTTTTGGGCAGCAAAAGGCTCAGTGGCCGGAAGATAATACTGTATATCTATATATAATCTTATTCTATCAAGTCTTATTTTTTACTGTTGAAATTTTATCTCTGGTCAAGCCTTCATATATCTACATACATAAAAAAAGTAAATATATATATTTATTATTATATATCATTATTCAAATTATTATTGTATATTATTCTTCTATTACACATTGAAGATATATATGTATCTATATACATTTTTACTATATACAAACAAGATCTTAATCGCATCTCAATCTTGGCTTCAAGAAAACTCTTTGGCAATCGAAGATTACTCAGTTCTGCCAACACACCTGCCCGATAAGGCGGGTACAATTTTAGTGTACAATATCTCTGGCCATACCCGAAACTGTTGTCGAATGCAGCACATCGATGTACATATGCTGCCACAATTTACTTTCGAGCAGCTCTAATGGCGTTGACGACGCCCCACGGCGTGCCCAGTGCGTCTTGTGGGGCCAGCGTAATGGAATTTGTTGGCTCTGCTCTGGATATGGATGGAACTGATTAGGCACACTTGCTACGACGGCGACTGAGACTGAGACTGCGACTGCGACTGCGCCTCGTGGCGGAAGTGAACGGTTAACAACAACAACATAACTAATACCAAGCAGAAGAAGAAGAAAAAGAAGAGAAGAAGAAGAGACCAGAAAACTACTTGAATATAGTTCAATTAATGGTCATGTTCGAGATGCTCTCGTTGCTCTGTTGCAGAGCAGGTGCAGGGATGGTGAAAGGGGTGATTGCTTTGGAGGGGGAGTGAGGGAGGGGGGGACTACTTTGCATGTTAGCTGTGGCTGTTATAACACTTTTAAATGCGTAAATTAGCTTTGATGGCTTGACTTTGCATATTGTTGCTGTTGCCTTTTTGTTTTGTTTTTGTTTTTGTTTTTTTTTTTTTTGTGTGTATTGAAGTTTGGGGCGGTGTTCAATGTTTGAAATGATTTCAATTTTTAATTTCCGACTGGTGGCTGTGCTTGCCCGCACTTTCCATTTCAATTAATTGCGCGCACTTGGCGCTCTTAGCCGCCTTTTGTTTCGCATTCGTGGGCTTGGCTCACTTGGCTCAGTTTCAGCTGCAATCCTTCGACTGACTCCCATCTGCATTGCTAAACGTTTATTGCCCTCTCTCTCTATCTCTCTCTCTCTCTCTCTCTCTGTCTTTGCCTGAAAATATCTCTCTCTCTCTCTATCTCTCTCTCTTTCTGTCGCTGTGCTGTTGCCGAGCAGCAACAATGCGTCCACTTGTTGGGCTTTGGCCATGCCTGCAGAACTGCACGGCCGTTTCTGTGTTAGCCAAGTTGGCTCTTGGTATAAAACGCACCGTTAACGCTTCGCTCTGTCGCAGTCGCAATTGCTACGCTACTTTGTTTGGTTTCGGCTTCGTTTCAAATTGCGCCGTATTTGTTTATTTGTTTTTTGTTTGTGTTTTTTGTTTGTGCTATTTCTGTTTCATTCTCTCTATCTCTCTCTCACTCTCTGGTTACTTCGCGAATGTCGGCAGTGCGTTGGAAATTTAATTTTGGTTGTTAAGGAACATCCGCTTTCAAGCATAACCAAAGTGATTGATCGCGTTTCTTTTACGACTTTGTGCTAAATAAGGCCAAAGACTTGCCAAAAATCAAAAAGCAGCTCGAATCGTGCAAAGTGCAGAAATGGTGCGTAAAGAGCTGAAGCTCAAAAGGTTTGCTAAAGTGACCCCAAAATGGGCATAGAACTTAGACTGAGTATTGAGTTAGTAAATACTGACAGGAAGTTTTTGCTTAAGTAAAGTATGTTGACTTAACGGTATACGGATAGAGCTGTTACTTCTTCAGATTTCTCTTACATATGTAATTCATAATGAATGTATGTTTAATTGTTGACGGACTTTATGTACATTGATAGAGCTGTTCCTTGAGGGAGGAGATTTCAGAACGTTTTCCCTTCCCTTTACATTACATTACATTACGTTTACTGTATGTATAATATCAATTATAATGCTTACGTAAATAATAAACGACTTCTACAAAATCCTCTTCCAGCTGACATATTCATATTTATATGTACATTATAGAGCTGTTCCTAAGTTGAGAGTTGTTTCTTTCAGCTGATATATTCTTGCGAAGATTTTGGAATATACGAGGTCTATTCAAAGTCATTTAATATGTCTCATAGTGGTATAAAATTATTAAACCATGGATTTTCATTGATTTAGATTTGCAAAGAACCAAAGAAAGCTAAAAAAAAAATCTCTTCGAGAAGTGTAGATGATTCCTCATTCATTTAGCAGATATTCCATAGGTAAACTTTAAGGCCTAGGCAATTAGCTACTTGAAGCCCTATCGCTGAAATCTGAAAACTGATCATTGGTATCAAAAACTATGCTTTCAGATACCAAATATTGCACTATCAAACAGTTAAGAACATAATATTTGTTATTACTTAGGAAAACCATATAAACCAGGCTAAGTGTAATTGTATCTAGAATCTCTTTATAGATAACCTCCAATTTGCACTGATTCTTAAAGTTAAGAGCAAAGTTCATAAGTACATCTACAGTCTTATTATAGACAACCTCCAATTTGATTTTGGATTCCTTTGATTCTTAAAGTTAAGAGCAAAGTTCATTCATCGACTGAGCATAGGTCAATTCGCCTTCGACTGAGCAATGCAATCTGTCGCTCTTAGACCGCCCAGGCTGACATTTGTGAATGACACAGAAGTATGATTGATGGCCAGGGCCCTCAGAGTACTCAGAGCTGTTCTGTGCAGGCGCGAGTTTGTCTTTTAAGTCTTTTGATTTTGCCGAGTTTTGTTTTTGTTTTTCTTTTTTGCTGCGGGCCAAACAAAGGCGCGCAAATTACGCACTTTAGCGCTGGCAATTGGCAGTCCATCAGATCCATTAGCCGAGCTGTCATTAATCAAGCTGCATTTGCATTCGCAGCGCCGGGCATGTGACCTGCGAGCGATCATTACCAGCCGCTGTGGCCAGCAAAATAATTAGAGAGCAGCGCCAAACTGGCGCACGCATCTATGATAATGCTCACGATGGCACTGACAGCTCCAACTGGCTTCGCACGCCACAGCGAATGCTGTGCAGCCGCTTCGCCAAAAATTGCAACTAGTTTTTCAAAGACTTTTGAACGGATTTTTCTGTTTCTATACTTTTTTTTTATGATCTTTTGCCTTCTTTTTTTATTTTTTTATTTTTTTTGAATGTGGCATCATTGGGTATTGCACAAAAAATGCAATTTTTGGCTGGCGAGACGAGTGCAGTTTTCGGTTCAATTCGAGACCGTCTCACGTTGAATGCAGCAGGAATGTTGCAATCGGGGCCGCTTAGAGTTGGCGTTGCGTTTGAGTGCTTCGTGACAAATGGCCGTTAGTTTGGACCAGCGATTTAGAAAGGCGCTGCTTATCAGTGGCTCTCGGCCTGGCCTTGTGCCGTTTGGCCAGCTGCTCGTCTGGCCAACTGATTGGCTGGCCACCCCCACCTATTATAGCCGTCTGTGTATTGCCAATTTCACAGTTAATATATTACTATTACTATTCGTCAAGCCGGTTGATCTCGAATCTCAATCAAATGCATCACTGGTCGCAAGTGGGCGTGGCACTGGCCACATTTCAGCGAAAGGCAGCTAGCAAAGCGTAAACCTTTCACTGCCGATTCCAAAGCCAAGCAATAAGTTATCATTCAGCAATAGCAACAATGAAGACAAACTGCGTACACCTGAGTTATTCCATGCGCCTGCTGAAAAAACCCAGCTAAACATCTTCTTTTCTCCGCCTCCACAGAGACAACTAGCTCTGCTCTGGGCTCTGCTGGCTGCGCTGACCGCGACTCAAGCAGCGCTGCAGCGCCCACCACACGGCTACGACGATGACAACACGCCACTTCAGCTGAGTCTCGAGGATCTGGAGCGCGAGCAGGAGCAGCGGCTCGACCTCAATCGTCTGCCACTGCTGCCCACGCATTACGAGTGGCATCCCAGCGTGGCGGCCAGTGTGCCGCCCAGCTACATCCACGACGCCGCCAAGCTGGAGCAGGTGGAGCGACTGCGCCAGCTGCAGCAGCAGCATCAGCAGCTGAGCGCTGGCTACGCATTGCCCGACCAGCTCTCAGGCGGCTACCTGCTGCTGCACGATGGCAATGCAATGTAAGTATGCAGGCGGCAAGAGCTTTCAAGCTTTTGGCTTGTGACCTGGGACGAAGCTCAAGTGCAGACACAAACCAGACACAAACCAGACACAAACCAGACAAGCCAAGACTGCAGCAGCTCGAAGCTTTGCAACGTTAACTTTAGTGGCTACACATAAAAGCTTTAAGCTCTAAATGATTAATACTTTGAGTTTGAAGTTTTGTAAATAGAAATATTTGCCCAAATTGCTAATTTTGCTGAGGAATCTCAGAATTTGGTGTTTAATTGGATTCGTGATTATATAATAGAAACAGAATTCATCTAGATCAATAAAGATCATAGAAATCAGATTAACCTTAGTAAACTTTGAGATTATTATACACATATGGCAGAAAACAGGTTATTGCCAATAAAATTTTGAATGCAGAATCAAAATAGATCAATATATATAATAGAAATCAGGTTGCTCAAAGTACGCTTGTTAATAGAAAATCAATAGATAGATGATAGAAAACAGAATAAAATTCATTAAATTTAAATTAGATAATTAATATAGAATATAGATAATAAAAATCAGTTTATAACATTTTGAATACATTTTAGAAGAACGAATAAAAGACTAAAATCAATAGAGATCAATAAAGATTGATGATATAACACATAATGTCATTAATTAAATTTAAAATAAATTCCAGAAAAAAACATAAAAGATTTACCAATCTAACCAGTATTTTTCAAGTTTTAAGGCTTGGTTTTTTTTTTTACAATATCTTAAGAAAACTGAAATTTGGATAGGAGTGGAGGGCCGCTCTTGCTTTATGAGTAGGCGAAATGAGGTGAGAAATAGTTGAACAGACTCTATTTAAGTGCGGAAATGTTGATTCAAGCATCCGCTGGGCATTACACACTACCAAATGCTGGAGACCATAAAGTAATAGAAATATAGTTCTTTTATTAGATATTGAAAGTGATTTGGATGTTTAAGAAAACCGCAACATTAACAAGACCAGACCATCAGATACTTGGGATTAAAAAAACACGCACACACTCACACACACACACAAGTGCCTAGTGAATTGCGGTTTTCCAGCTCTTGTCGGCAGCCAAATTGCCTGTTTGTCAATTGAATTGGCGAATTGGCTGAAAATGAGCGAAAATTGCAGTGTTAATCGAATGCCCTTAAAGACACATTTAGGCGAATGCAGCCAGCCAATCTGCGATAGATAGCTCTTGGCCTGTGGGTGGGTGTTGAAACGGTCAGTTTCACTCACGACTGCAGCCGGCGTTGGCTTCCGACAAATGGCAGCATCGATTGCCATAATAAGTAGCAGAGATTAGATAAACGCGGCTCGTTAAGTCACGTCTTGCTGGCTCTCTCACACACACTTTCTCTCTCTCACTCTCTCTCTCTCTCTCACTCTCTCTCTCTCTCTCACTCTCTCTCTCTCTCGCTCGCAGCTCACCCACGTCCGCGTCGACGGCAGCAACGCCAACAACAACAGCCGCAACGAAGACGCAAACGCGATTTCTACAGCCCATTGTGCCCTTTGATCTGGACCTGCAGCTTCAGCTAAATGGCGTGCAATATCTGAATGGCAATGCGCTGCCAGCTCCCACCACCACAGTGCTGCCACGCCCCATACCCAGACCCGTACCACGTCCGCTGCGACCGCCCTACGCTTTCTTGCAGCAGCAGCACCACCACCACCTGGCAGCGCCGTCGCAGCGCCCCAGCCTCAGTTCGTCAGTGCTGCTGCCGCAGTCCAAGCAGTTCGCCTATGCCCCCGTGGGCCAGCGCAATTATGCGCCCGGCACCCGCATACCGCTGCCCTATCCGCCCAGTTTTGTCAGCATTACGACGCGACGGCCAGCGTCTGGGTACGCAGGCAGCTACTCGAAGCCCTTCCGGCCATCGCAGCCAGATCTGACCCCGGATCTGTTCGCCGGACGTGACTCCAAGTCGCTGCTGGACTCCTACATACCCAGCTGGGAGGTGCTGCGTCTGTACCAGCAGCACCAAACGCCGCGGCCATTCCAGAGCCACACGCTGGCCTACGCTGTGCCCATCCAGCGAGTCTTCAAGCGCGACTCCCAGCCACAGACGGTGCCGGAGCGCAGCCGCATTGTCAAAAAGTCCCTGGACAAGCAGCTGGCGCCACATTAGCTTGTATTAGCGAATGCAACTATGTATAATTTTTATTTTGTTTTATTTTTTTTTAAATTTTTTATTTGTTATAATATATGTTTGTATTATTTATTCAGTGAAGCTCAATAAAATTTTGTTACTATTTTTATGTAGACTAGAAAATGTTATATATACATATATTTATTTTGATATACTCTGTGGCCTTTGCTATTAGATGACATTCCAATCACTTAACCAAGTTATTTTAAATAAATGCCGTAAAAATATATGGCTGAATGGGAGGACAGATTGCAGCTCATCGTCGTATATTGTTGATTCATCATTTATTATATTCATCATGTTTCTCCCACCAAGGGCACGTTTTCGCCAAGTCAGCGTTGCTTATGATACGTATTATGCGATTTCGTAGATTTCTATTCCAAATCTCCAAATTTAGTGCAATTTTTATTTTATTTTAATTTTTGCATTTTAACTTTTTTATTTTTTGTTTTTTTATTATAAATTGAAAGTTTGTTGCCAATTACAAAATCTTGTCTTCTTCGTTCACACATTCGTTGCGAAATATAAAATATCAAATTATATTGCATATGATAAGTAACGTTGGTAGTCATATATTTTAACTTGTTTATTAATTATGTCATACACCAAGAGGTGTTGTTGTATTTATTTTTTTTTTGTTTTTT